TGGGTTGTCTGGCGGCCTGTCGCCCGCTTGGCCGTTGCCGTGTCCGTGTCTGTCTGGGCCGCCGCCGCCGTCGCCGCCGCCTCGAGATAGAAGCGCAAGGTGCTGGTCAGCTCAAGAATGGCGCAGAGGTCGGTTATGAGCAGTTGCAGCCGACGCATCTGCGGCCCCGCGGCCTCGGCGCCCGGACGCCGGGAGCCGCGGCGTGTCTGAGAGGAGAGCGCCGGCCTGAGCGGACTGGCGCCAGCGGTCGCGGGCCGCCAGCGCGGCCTGGCCTCGACAGGCCCGTGTTGGGTGGCCGTGGATGAGGGCGCGGGCAAGTCGACGTAGACGAGAAAGTAGACGTTGCCCTTCTGGCCTCCGAAAGAGACGAGGCAGCGCAGCGGGATCGACTTGATGCATTCGACGCGAGTGCCCGCGGGGCCGACAGCGGCGGCGGGGCGCGCGGGCAGAATGTGGAGCAGATTGATGCGATCCGGCCTCGGCAGCAGCCAGACGATCTGCTCCGTCGACTGGCCGGGCAAGTTGAGTGCCCGACACGCGAAGGCGGTCAGGCCGAACCGGGCCGGGCAGACGCGCCGCAGCCTGGCCAGGTAGGCCTGGCAGGAGGCGACGGCGGCCGGCCGGGCCACGCGCGCCTCTGCCTGGCCCAGTCGGCCCGCCTCGTCGCAGTCGCCCGCCTGCGCCTCGTCCGCCCTGTTGTCGGCCTCGCACAGGCCGGGCCGCAGCACCGCCTCCTGCCAGTCCACGATGCGGCTCCACCGCTCGACCAATAGCAGTTTGAGCTGAGTTAAAGCCTGACTATCGATCAGCCGATCGGCCAGCCAATCGGCCGGCAGATAGGCCTGCAGCAGCTGCACCAGCGTGGCGTCCTGCCGGCGCAGCAGGTCGGCGTAGTCGGCGTGCTCCAGTCTGGCCAGCAGAGCGGCCAGCTCGACAATGTCGGCGCCCGTCACGGGCGCCTGGTAGAGGCCGGCGCGCAGGTCGGCGTGCAGCTGGCGCACCAGCAGCCACAGGAGGCGCGCGCGAGCTGGGCTGGTGGCCGAGGCCTGCGGCCGAGCCGGCCGGCGCGCCGGCCCCAGTGCCGAGGCTGCGACGGCCTGCAGGCGAAAGACAAACTGCACCGTCAGCTCGGCTGCCGCCGCCGCCGCAGCCGCTGCGGCCGCGGCCGCTGCCGCCGCCGCGCCTGCCCTCAGCACGGCCGTCTCGTAGCAGGCGATGGCGTCGCACACTCGCCAGCCCGGGTCCAGGTAGACGAGCCGGCAGTCGGGCGCCGGCCGGAGGCGGCAGTAGACGGCGCAGAGGCAGTCGCCGGTCGTCAGGCACTGGCCGATGCCGAGACGGCCGGCCACGCGGCCTGCCAGCTGGCCGACGCAGGTGGCGCCGTCGAAGCCGACCACCTCGTAGGCGGGCGACGGCGTGGCCAAATGGACGGGCAGGCTGAAGGGGGACGCGTGCAGGAAGGGGTTGCGCAACGAGATCGCGGCCACCTCGAGGCCAGAGGGCGCCGCGCGTCGGCCGCCGACCAGCTGCGTGCGTGCAAGAGTCTCTCGGCAGAAGGCCGCATAGCGACACACTTCGTCGCTGAGGCTGGACGCGTCGGCGCCGGGCGCCTGGGGCCGGGGAAACTGGGCGAGGAAGGCTTGAAGGCAGGCGACCACCGGAGCCGAGGGGAGGAACAGCGTCAGACAGAGGCAGAGACACTCCCAGACCACGATCACCGGCCTCCAAGCCTCCGGGTAGCCTCCACCCGGTCTGCGCACTGCCCTCTCTGACGCTCGGCCCGAGGCGGTGCCACGCATCTTCTCCACCTCATCCGCCTCCACCTCCGCCTCGCCCCCCTCCTCATGCCCCTCTCTCTCCTCCTCCTCCTCCTCCTCCTCCTCATTCCCATCTCCCTCCCTACGTCTGCCCTCGTCGCCGGCTTCGCTGTCCTCTTCACCCGCTTCGCCACCCGCCCCGATGCACCACAGCGCGAGCGGACGCCGCAGCCGCCTGCGCCGTGCGCCCGCGCTCGCGTGGCCACGCGAGCCGACCAGCCGCGCCGGCGGCACCGCCTGGTGCATGAGGAAGAGGAAGAGCTCGTTCTTGAGGCTGGGCTGCCGGAAGCAGAGCTCGGCGAGGCGGCGGATGCAATGGTACTTATTGACCAGCCAAAGGGTGCGCGCCCGAGAGCGCGGCCGGCCGGCGCTGGCGTCCAGCAGCCGGTAGAGCCGGGCGTCGGCGAGGGTGGCGCTCGCGCCGGCCGGCCGCGCCGGCTGCGATGGCGGGTAGGAGAGCTGGTGCACGAGGTCAGCCAGTTGGTGGAGGCCGAGCGCCAAAT